ACATCCATCAGACCAATGTCGACACCTGATGGGCCACCAAGGAGAATGGACCCAGAAGTGGGTTCGTAAAGACGTTGGAGGAGAGAAGCGATAGTTGATTTGCCGCAACCTGAGGAACCGACGATAGCGACACATTCGCCTGGGGCGATAGACAAGTCACAAGAGTCGAGGACCGGAACATCGGAACGAGTCGGGTAAGAGAATGAGACGTTGGAGAAAGTGACAGCGGATGAGATGGTAGTAGGTGGAAGCCCGAATGGCCAGGAAGAGGTAGGAGAAGCAGAGGAAGAGGTGATCGTGGGCTTGAAAACACCCTTAGACTCAGTCGTAGTCGAAGTGTCCAATTGCAACACCTCGAGCATATCCTGGGTAGCTTGAATTGCCCTTGTAATCCTGTTGGCTGTAAAAAGGTAAAAAACCCGATAAGAAAATGCATCACTATTTAGAAAAAAAAATAACTCACTAAAAGCCATCAACTGACTTCCGATCGTCACGCTGAACACCACCAAATTCAACACTTGCACCATTTGCAGGTAGTTGTACCTGCCGCTGCTGATAAACAGCGCTCCCACATAAAACAACAACGCTTCGGCCAAATAGATCAACCCACTCGCGACACCGAACGTGCACCCTTCGACAAACGCGCCCTTGACTCCGACCTCCAAAGCGTTATCGGTGAGGGAGTTGAACCTTTGGTGGAAGAAATTGGTCAAGCCAAGAGAACGAATACATCTGATGTGATTGACCACATCAAAGTAGCCCTTCCCGACTTGTCGCCTGACAACTCTGTTCCTCCTCTCGCATCGAGCTACGAGACCGGATTGGATGATCATGACACCGGCAAAGACAGGAGCGATAGCGAGTCCGACGAGGGTGAACTCCCAACCGATGACCATAGCCCAGATGAGACCGACACCGAGCATGGAAACGACGACGAGGGCTTGGCCGAGACAGATCGAAAGAAGGGATTTGGCGTCTTCGCCTTGCGTAACCAAGGTCTGTGTGAAGTGAATGACGGAGGAGGAATGTGAAGGGGCATCGCTAGCTTTTGGTTTAGAGTTTGAGACAGCAGCGGAATCGGCCTTGGTAGGAGGAACAGATGGTGTAGAGGCAGCGCCCCTCGCACCATCCCACCAACCCTTATCCATCTCGACTAACTTTCCCATCCCTCTCAATCTCATAGCCCTGATATAGCTCATTCCGACGCCCTCTAGAGTCGCGTACTTGAGTCCCATAACAAGTCCATCAATCGCCGCAACACCAAGCACCAAACCTCCAAGTTTGTTAATAGCCGTCACCTTGTCGTCACCTCCAAACAACCCCGCATCGCTAGAGGAAGCAGGTTGGTTGATAGTCGACACCTGGAACAACAACTTGGAAAGCAAGAACGAGAAGATCGGCGTCAAAGCTCCGCTCACGAGACAGAACACGAGGCCCAGCGCCAAAAGGAACTTGTTAGGAACAAAAGGCAAGACATGAGGTAATAACCCGAAAATCGAGTTGGGGAGTTGCGTTCGTTCCTGTCCTTCGGGTGCTTTAGCAGTAGAAGCGACAACGACTTCCATCTCGAAACCTTCGTTAGCGTTGTTGGCTGCTCCTCGGCGCTTCGTGCTCCTAGATCTAGCCCTAGCAGCCTCTCCACTCCTCTTCAACACGCCCTTCTCTTCATCAAACTCATCATCGTCCTCTACCCTCACTTGTTTCTTGGGGAACGTGGGCGAAGTTGGCGTGAACTGTAGACTCAACCGTCTCTTAGCGCTGGGAGGAACTTGAAGGGTGAGAGTAGCCGCCGACGCCGGCGTCAGCGGTGAGCCCAAGGTCATCTCGGATGAAGACTCGCGGTCGTAAGACGACTTGGGTGAAGAGGGCACCAATTCTGATATGGAACTCGGTCTCCTCAACCTCCTTCCAACCTCCTGATTGTTCGAAGGAATCCTGAGAGGTGGGAGAGGCTCCATCTTCTTTGGCGGGAAGAAACTGACTCTCTTCTCACTTCCACTCTGGCCGTTGTGCACAGGTAGTGAAGGAGCGTCCTCTTCTCTAGTTCGAGTCAAGTCCGCGACGACGTCCAACATCCATGCTCCAGTCGAAAGCCCGGCAGTCAGTCTCCCGACGACTGGATTACGAACAGAGTAGGATGCGTGTTTGGCAAGGATAGTTCGACGTCTTGAAGCGGCAGAGTCAGCCGAGTTCCTTCTTCGTGGCAAGTCGTCGTCGTCGTCATCAACCTCTTCAGCATCAGAGTCGGTGAAATCTTCATCTTCATCGGACGCATAGAGACTTTCATCGTCCTCCGGGTCGGCCTTCTTCGCACCAGCCATACCACTAAGCTCTACTAGCCTCCTGAACTCGGCTCCCTGGTTAAGGTCCATCCTCTCCAAATCGCATCTGTACCCATTCTCCACGACCTGTCCGTCTTTCATCACATAAACAAAATCGTTCGGAAGGATGGTTCCACCGGGAATCGTTGAAGAGTCGGAAGCTACGCGGAACGCAAAAACAAATAACAACAACGTTAGTGGAAAAGTAAAAAAAAAGAGAAACGAGCCAACCACTTACAATCACCCAAATCATGAGTCACCACGACAGTAGTCATGCCCTTCCTCCAAGTCCTAATCGCCGCCAACACCAACTGTCTCGACGTCGGATCCAACGCCGAAGTCGGTTCATCCAAAATCAACACTCTCGGATTCCTCAACTTGGCTCTCGCGATCGCCAATCGTTGTTTCTGTCCACCCGAAAGTCGAACACCTCCTTGGTCGCTGTTATCGGCTTCTTGAGGTGAATCGGAAGAAGAACCTTCGTCGTCGACCAAGATGGTATCGTATCCGTCGGGAAGATCCCTGATAAACTCGTGCATTAACGCTGCACGACAGGCATCGACGACTTCGGCTCTCGTGACTGATTCTGGGGTGCGGAGTTTTTTGGATTCCGAAAAGGGTGAAGAGGAAGGGGAAGGAGCGCATATAGCGATAGCAACGTTGTAATGAATAGAATGGTTTGATAAAATAATAGTTGAGGCTAATTAGAAAAAAAGGATGTCAACGCAAGAAATTGGAGAAAGACGAAAGAAACAACGCACCTTGATCAACAACGCCCATGTTTTCTCGAATCCACTCTTCATCCAAAAACCTCATCTCCTGGTCGTCCACCGTGATAGAACCGGTGTTCCTAAGAGCAACCGGTTCCTTCTCCTCCTTCTCCTCTACCTCCTCGATTTCTTGTGATTTAGGCGCAGGTCCATCAAGTCGGTACAGTCCTCCCAACAAACTCGCTATAGAGCTCTTTCCAGAGCCCGAACCACCAACAATGAACGTCAAGTCTCCCGCAGGAATGAACATGTTGACGTTCTTGAGCACAGGATGAGTCGGCCTAGTCGAGTACGCGAAACAAACGTGGTTGAGCGAAAACTCTCCCTTCATCGATCCATTCGGAGTGATCTTCTTCAAAAACCTCGCACTACCCGATCTCGACTGTTGCGCCCTAGCATACTCTTCCTCGTTATCCTTCACGATCTCCACAAGCTTACCCACCGCGACTTGTCCCTTTCCAACCTCAATCAACTGCGGTACACACATCTGCAAGTTGCTCGTCGCGATGAGACAAGCCCAGAACACGGACATGACGGTTCCGGGTTGGATCTTGCCTGAACGAACGAGTGTCGAACCGAACCAGAAAGATTGAACGAACATGGCCATCATGATCCATTGACTGAATCCTGACTGTAAAGAGAATATCCTGTTCAGTTTCTTGTCGTTTTGGTGAAGACCACCCAAGATGGTGCGAAGATGGTCGAGAGTGAATTGGGTAGCGTTGAAAGCTTTGAGTGTGGGTAGGAGAGTGAGAGAACGCTCGACGAGGGTGGCGAGGGAGCCGACGTATCCTCTCTCGTGAGAAATGAGAGGACCGGCGAGAATTTGGGAAATGGTTTGAATGATAAGGATGACAGGCACGGAGGATAGAGTGAGGAGTGTGAGTAAAGGTGATTTGATAAACGCGAGGATGAGAGCTGTAAGAGTCGTGGTCAGGTGTTGGAGAAGTAAACCCGAAGCTAGAGAAGTAGCTAGACGGAGAGCGTCGGTGTCTGATGTGAATTGGGCCATGAGGCCAGCTGCACCGAGCGAAGAGTCGGATTCCGAGTCGTTGGAGGTTGTCCGGCGTTGAAACCAGGCAATTTCTTGTGAGATGACGGAACTGAAAACCCGTCTCCTGGCTTCACGCACGTTAAGTTCACCGGTCCATATCCACAGCGAACTCGTTATCGCGCTAAGCGCTAACGAGCCTACAGCGAGACCGACGAGTTGGAGAGCTGCAATGCCGACATCGTGTAACAGATGGGACTTGTCTTGGGAGGAAGGGTTTTCAAGTGGGAATTTGGCAAAGGCATCGAAAGAGTCCCCAAGGACGAGGGTCATAAACGGGGCGATGCCACCAGCTATGAGGGAAGAGAGGATAGCGGGGACGAGGATGACGAGTTTTTGGCGGGTGGTGAGGAGAGAAAATAGTGTTAAGATAGTCATCGCAAGTCGTAGCAGTAAGTCGTGTAGAAGGAAGGAATGAAAGAACGAAAAAGTGAGAGAGACCCGGATCCCATCCTTGCTTTTCTTTTTGTTCGACAGACAAAAAGAAACTGGACAATGAGATTCGGCTATGCGTCACGTGACTTCCCCATTTGGAAACCCTGAAGACAATAAGAGCCCATTGTCTCCTCTCCTCGCTCTCATGCTTTTCAGGCACCGCCCTACTATCTTAGTATCTATGACTCGTCTTTCCATGAGGATGAGAAACCATCGGGAGTCGTCGGGAACGTCCCTAGAACATCCTTCGGACGAGTTGAGGACGCGTTGTTTGGCGACTCTATTTGGTCGTTTTGTTTGGTCGTTTTGTTTGTACTCGTTTTATTTGGACCCTGTTTGGTCACTTTGTTTGCACTCTATTTGGCTGACCACCCAAAGACGCCGTTTACTTCTCAAATTAACGCCAACTTCCTGTCAGTCGTTGCTTCCTTAGCTCAGTCGGTAGAGCGCGAGTCTCATATTCGATCATCGTTGCGGTGGCCAATCTCGAGGTCGCAAGTTCGAGCCTTGCAGGGAGCATACCATCATGATCTGGTGGAAAAGGTCCAGCGACTTTTTCCTTCCAACTTGTGTCACCTTTCGGGTGTATAAAAAGGGGCGCGCCGCCCGCGGCAAAGTACTTTCCCACCCATTAATTGAGTTTTTTGAAATTAAATCGGGATCATTTTGGCCGCGATTGTATTGTTGGCCTGAATTCCCGGGCCCGTCCAATCTAAGTAAGTAGCTCTTGCTGCTTCATAATGGGGTCATGCAGTTCGACAGCGGCTTTGAGTACTTCAGACATAGTATTTATCTCTTGTATGTAACACTTTTGTTCCTTCACAATACTTACTTAGGTTACGGGCTGTGTAAACTTGTGTAAAGCGCCTATGTTGGCGTCAAAATTTGTCTATGAGTATATGATCATGAGAAATATCGAGCGCCGTTTCGTCAGCCCCTCGACTACCACTTCTTCTGATCAACAGAGTCCTCAACTCACCTCGTCCCATCAAAAAGACCCGACTCCCTTTTACTACTCTATTTCAATTCCCCTATTGAAAGTTATATATCATAACTGGTGAGTGAATGTCAAAGGGAATACTCTAGAGTATTGATGGCAGGTTGGCAGTGGTAGCAGCGACACCAACGGCAGCTGGCAGGTACTTATTTTGACCAGTGGTAGGTCCAAAAAAGGAAAGAAGTTTGATTTGAGCCAGTAATTTACAAGATATCTATGACCCATGATTCTTTCAGGATATCTCCAATATTCTATGTACGATCCTTAGACTCCGAGTTACCATCCAATACCAGAATCTCCTCACTGAAAGGTGTCAGAACCATCCCTTAATCAATCTGATCCAATTTATCAAAGCTTTCCATCAAGAACATCTGCACCGGCAAGTTCAAGGCCAGTTTCATCAAAATCCTCCTCCTCGAGTTCCTTTTCCAGATTGTTCATCGAGTCCTCGACATCATCCAAATTTGGGGGATAGACACCTGCGACTCAACCTGAACTGCGATGGCAGGTTGGCAGGTATTCCTGCCGCTGCCAACAACACTACCTGGTACCACCCAGGCTGTCTCTACCAGTCAAATTTTCCTCATATATCTGCCGCTGCCACCAACACTACTACCCGCTACTACACCAGTCAAATTTCTCTCAAGTTTGAGTAGATATACGTCTAGTCAATCTCAATACAACCCGACATCAGCTTGTACCCGGATGATATGGGTTATAAATAAAACTACAAGACACAGCAAGCTTTGAGAAGAAAACAGAACGGCGAGGAACATATGGGAGATAAGTATATACCTCAAAAAAATCCTCTAGCTAGCTATCATGATATAATTGAAAAGAACTTTCAAGGTTTTTGTGGTCACTAACGAGGAGCTTGCAAAATGTATTTCATTCTGCTACGATGACCTGAGACAATCCGACGGCTATCGTTTGTCCAAAATTACAAAGGGTTTTTCCTAGCCGACGAGATTCTTTTCCTTCTCACATCGACTCGGACGTCAAATGCACAATTCTGCCAGGCCTCGACGCCTCGGTCGTATCTTCTCGACAGATCAGTATATACTTGACTTTATATCATCACTCACCAGCACTTTATCGCCTAGACTGCACAAGCATATGTCATGAAGCGATGCCGCTAAAAGTAGTAAAATATTTCCATCCAAATTTTACAAGGGCTCAACAGCAGGGTAGTCAACGCAGTGCCACACGGAACATTGAAATTCTCTATGTTGACTCTGTCGAATTGGAGTCGGAGCAACATAGGTCAGCCGTCGTCTCGTCTCCCAAACGAGTGCCCCGGTACTGAGGTTCAAGCGGTCTTCGACTCAAATGAGCGCCAACCTTTTATTAATTAAACCCAACGTGTCGCCAACGCTTCGAAAGAAGCAGCAATCAATGACTCAGATATTGAGAGTATTATCTCCTAGCTCCCTCCACCTGTTGATACATCAATCCCAGCTCCAAAGTAAACAATCGTCATCTCCTAGCTCCCTCCACCTGTTAATATATCAATCCCAACTCCAAAGTAAACTATCTGAAATACACATGTCAGTGACTCACCGCGGGAGCTTCTCTTCTTTTCTCTTCCTCTCCGTTGTGCCATCAAGGCATTCGTGTTCATTTTCACATCAGGTCCGACCTCCCAAAATAATCCATGATCAACAAATACTGCGAGCGAGAAGGCAATGATCAGGCACGTTGATTTTAAACGCCTCCAATTCAGTCTGTGCGCGCACAACAACCGGTCACCTTTGTACTGTCACTGAATGATAGTGAGGTGATGGCGCGCATTATATACATACAGCAAGCCCGAGAAATATATCATATATCTATTACTTATATGTTTTCGGGTTTAATCAACGAGAATCACTGGACGTCGTATTTCCGAACATCCGAAGCTAGACTGAGTTGATACTGCACCTGGCATCGATCAGCAACTTCTCCTCATGGCACCATCTTGATTCTTTGATTTTGATGTACAGTTGTATTATAGATCTATCTATCAATACCAAACTACAAAGCTTGTTGCGAATCACCTGGTTCAAGGTTATCCAGGTCAAGTGAGAGTAAATGAAAGAGAGCAAGAGTATAAAAAAAAGGCTCCAGCTGTAGTGAAAAGATTTACAGCTCCCCAACGGTTTGAGTAGCCCCCTTTGCCCATGATGACATCCTGGTCACAGTCCCAACAGTCTTTACCTCTCTCTGATCCCGATGTCTTGGTTTTGCAAGATTGGATAGCCGAAACAGCTATCAGCTTCTTATTATACGGGGTCTATGCAACTCTCTCCACAACGGCTATCTATCTCTTTCTGTGAGTATTACTATATTTCAACTCCATCTTTTCCGGTCTTCCCTAATCACCCAAAAATAATCCCATTGTACTACACACAGACGTAAAGGAATCTCAAATTCAAAACCAAGATCCGCCCTATCCTTCCTTACATGTCTCATGTTCCTGACCTCCTTAACCTCTATAACGCTCCGAACGCAATTCGACATTGCCCAAATTCCCCTGCTTGGCTTCAACCCACCAGATTCAGACCAAGTCTATCATTTCATTGCCAACATCTTTATTGTTCCTACATTCCTTGATAGGTTGAATGTAAGTTTCCAAACAAATACTTGTTTACTTCAACCCTTTCTTAGACATGCCATGATGGGCCTGGGGATTGATTCATATCTTTTCTCTCTCTAGTATGTAATCAGCGACGGCATAGTAGTATGGAGGGCCTGGATAATGTTCCCACGAAATCACCTCGTCAAAGGAATTCTGTTCATCTGCATGATCAGTTCTACTGGTAAGAAAAATTCCCCTTCATGCAGCATCATCATAACAATTCATTCTCAACATGCTTTGTTTTACTTGCGTTAGTTGGTGCATTCACCAATGCGGGATTAGCTGCTAAAACAATAATTACCAATGGATTCGAGGATGCTGGAGGCGGAAGATTCAACACATTGATTCTTACTCTTCCTCTTTTTATCACAAATTTGATGGCCACAGCTTTCATTGGATACAAAACCTGGTGAGTCTCACAAACTAAACAACATGGCTCGAGTACCATAAATATTCACTTATCACTTACTCTATAGGCTCCACCGTCGAGACATCCGAAAAAATTTAGGATCGACTTGCGGATCAGTGATCAAGGTCCAAAAAATCCTTTTTCTCCTCGTTGAATCAGGAATAATCTATTGTACCTTGTGGGTAAGTACATTGGAACATTTATCTCAACCCTATTGGGCTCAACTGGCACACTCCATAGATTGTTTATGGTTTCATAGGAATTTCTACCGAAACAAGCTCAAATACTTCATTCGCACTGTATGCGGTAGCAATGCCAAACTTATCTGTACGTCGTCATAATATTTATACCGAAAGTTCAATAAACTAATTGCTTTGCTTTTCAAACAGGCTCTTTATCCAATCTTGATCATTATTGTAGCTGCTCTCGAGAGTACGAGATCAGACGGCATGAATGAGATATCTTTATCTCAATCAATGCGGTTTGCCTCGGGCCAGATTCCAACTCAAGATGCTATGGTTGTTTCACAAATGCAAATCCTTAATTCCTCAACGACGGAATTTGATTCTGCTTTAGAAGTCTCTGCTGAAGGGAGTCCCAGGTCTGATAAATATGGTCAAGCCAGTGGAATGACAGTTTGAAGCTCTTGTCCAGCGCTTCACAGCCTTTACTTCCGTGGATCTAATGATAAATCAAAATCAACTCAGCTTTCTTTTTTTACTTCTGACATCGATCTATATACACGCCTCCACTGATCTATTCCTTGATTATAATGATGCCGGACTGTACAGAGGTTACCAGCTGAGTGGAAGCAAATCATGACGAGAATTATGTCCCTGAAGAGAATCTGTTGTGTACTATGCAGATATAAGATATGAGTCTAGTATTCCGACTGACTTGAAACTTCGGCCCTAGAATGTTCCCCTGTGTGGTTATAGCGACGGCTGTGTGTCGCAAATCGGGTGCCAGTTGTCACATCCGGGGCGAAGGCTCCAGCCTCCTGAAGAGCCGGGGTTCTTAGTCCAAACCTTGGACCAAGCGTGTGAATGCGGCACCTGTGGGGTGGTCAAGTCTGCCACTGTAGAATCCAGGCGAGGTCGAGTGCCCCCTAACCGATTCTCGAGTATCCCCGCTAAAAACTACTGAGTGATATGGATGTCTAAGTCAGTCATTATTAGCGCCTTTTTGTCATTCGTCATGAACATTGCACTGGCATTTTCCTGTTCAATTGAAAGTCAAATTGGCCACCACAAGCGTGGCAAGTCATAGTCTAGGCCTGGAACAGGCCCACTAAGCGTACTGAAAGGAGAAATTCGTCTTTACACGCAACTTTTCGTCTCGGTCGCCAGTTACCAATGTGGTTTTGTTTGTCAAGATCTTTACTACCAATCGGGTATCGAAAACTCTGGCTTCTTCACGGTCCTGGATCAGAATTTTCTGAGCCTGACTTCCTCGGCCCAGTAGCAGTTGATAAGCCCATTTCAGGCCTCGTACTT